CAGACAGACAGAGACATAGAGACAGAAAGCGAGAAATCACCCCCCAGGGGGGATGGTCATGCCACAGTCCCTTCTCCTCCATTCTCCTCTCGGGATCCTGGGCATGCACGCACACGCGCCCGGCGTGAGTTTTAAGCCACCGGGTCCGGGACACAAACCGCTGTCGACCACGTGGGAGTCCAGCGACATAGCCATTACGCTAACTGCTGGTTCCCAATGGCCTGATTTTTTAATCTTGTTGATGGGAGTAGTACCCACCATCTCCCTTCTGCTTCTAGTAGAAGTCACCCCAGCATCTGCTTAGCCTTCCTGTCCCTGAGTCCTTCAGTATGCACTTAAGGCACTTTCTATGAAGCCATGCCAGATTTGGCAGTGGTTCTCTGTCCTTGCTCTGAATCCAGTATTTGTCTCCTCCAGTCATCACTTTGTAGCTTATGTTTTGTTTAGCTCTTATGCTAGGACTAATTTATGGTATGCTCATGCTTAGCTCACAAGTTTTAAGATAAAGAAGGCCCTTGAGGGTAAACTCTGGACACAGAAGATGCTAAATCCCACTTTTACAAACATCCAGGCGTCTTTTCCTCCTTAGCCAGATAGTTGACGCGCCCTGTAGCTCTGGACCAAAATTGGCAAAGGAGTGCAAAGGCTCAGACATACCCTTCTGTTCGGTGTTGTACCACTGCTGCCTAAAGAGAGTACTTCTGGGGCTAGTCAGTAGTGTGGGGATGAAGGCAGCAGAGTCCTACGTGGCTGACTGCAGTTTGAGTTCTAGACCTAGTGGCTTGAAAAACATTCTGGACACGTGTGCATGCATGTCCAAAATCCTGAGAGGAGAATGGAGAAGGGATTGTGGCATGGCTGCCACCCACCTCCCAGCGGGTGCTTCTCAGTAACCTGCTGCCCTAGACAGGTCAAGTAGCAACATCTAAATGCTTTTTACTGTATTTAGTGACATTTCCTTTTTTCTTTTAGAGGGATTTTTTGTTTTACTATGGGGCACGTGCGCTCAAGAGAGAGAGACAGTGAGAAATAATGCCCAAGGTGTGGGGGGCTGGCTACCCCACAGTCCCTTCTCCATTTTCCTCTCAAGATTTTGGGCATGCATGCACATGCACCTGGCATGAGTTTTTTTTTTTTTTAAAGAAGTATTTTATTTAACTTTTATTTATTATTATTATTATTTTCCAGTTTGATCAGAGAGAGACAGAGAGGAAGTGAGAAAGCAAGCCACCAGTTCTGAGACTTGAACCATGGTCGGCCATGTGGGAGTCCAGCGCCCTCAACCACCATGCCACCTGCCAGCCCCAACCTAAGATCTTATATTGCACCTGGCATGAGTTTTAAGCCACCAGGTCCAGGACAAGAACCACAGTCAACTACGTGGGAGTCCAGCGAAGTAATCATTATGCCATTTGCTGGTCCTTTGAGTGACATTTTCTAAAAATTCTGTTTTGTGAAACAGGGCTTTACAGTTTATAAGTATTTTCTAGCAAAGGCATTGCTCCTAGTTATTTTTGTCCAGCTATTTTTACTTATTTTTTATAATTTTGATAACAGCTTTGAGATAATTCCTGTACCATGCAATCACCTCTTTAAAGTGTACAGCTCAGTGGTTTTTAAGTATATTTATAGGCTGTTGTACATTGTCACCTGAGTGAATACTGGAATATTTTTATCCTCAAAAAGAAACTCCATAGCTATCGCCTCCCAATCCTCTCCCTCCAGCCCCTGGCAACCACTCATTTGTTTTCTGTGTCTACAAGATTGGGCTATTCTGGACATTTTATGTAAATGGAATCATACAGTATCTTTCTTTGGTGACTGATTTTCACTTAGCATCATGTTTTTCAGCTTTTTTGATATTGCTGGGAAAGCAAATTGTCTTGCATTATGTATTATGACTGCAACAATTGTATGATTCTTGAGAAAATCCACTAGGAATTTGCTTATTTCACAAGTCTGATCAGATTTAAGAGTAGTAAACTATGTTAACTATAGTTTTAATATAGCAGTGTCTTGCTTTGACAGTCTCTACATATATATTCCAAACTAGTGCTTTTAAAGTATTTCCACTTGGGAGCCCTATAAAAAGTATGTTGAAAAACTATTAGAATAAACATAAACTTCATACTTCAATACTCATAAAAATTACTGCTAAGATAGTTATAATTGACAGAGACCTCATTGTCATACTAAAGAGTCCAAATAAACTTCATCAGAAATCATGACTTCTTAGGGGCTAGCAGGTGGCATGTCAATTAGAGTGCTGGACTCCCACGTGGCCAACCGTGGTTCAAGTCCCAGGCCTGGCAGCTTGCTTTCTCACTTTTCTTCTCTCTCTCTGGTCAAATTAAATAATAATGAATGGAATTAAATAAATAATAATTCTTTAAAAAAAGGAAAAGAAATCATGATTTCCCAGTTCAGAACAATGTATTAACATTGTCCTTAGAAGAACTGTTTCCTCTGAATCTTAACTGAGATAAATAGGACTCAGTTCCTTCCTATGTGGTTATCTCCTGAGTGTCCCACACAGCCTATATTAGCAGAGCTCTCTGGATTTATTTAGGCTTTAAAGAAGACTCTTGGATCTTCTTTTTTGGGGCCCCAGGGATTCCCCCCACCTCCTGCAGGGGCAGTATACCTTGGAAAGAGTAAGGAGGGGTGAGAAGTATACCTTCCTTTTAGTAGAGGGGAGTTGTTGGGGACCAGGAGACTTTGCAGGTAGGCCCAGAGTGGGAGAGGATCTGACATATGGCATGCCGGAAATGCATTACCATTACCTTAGAAACTTGCACCTGAATATATATGAGCAAATGGCACTAGTTTGATGCTCAGTTTGATGCTCAGTGAATTTGGTATGAAAATATTATTGTGCTGGAGATGTCCTTATTCTTAGGGTATGCAAGCCAAAGTACTTACGGGTGATATATCCTGTCTGCATCTTAGAGACACACTTCTGCAGAGCCATTTCAGTGTACAGGCAGGCGTGGATAGAGAAGGCACATGTCCCTAAAATACTAGTTTGTGGTGAATCCAGGTTGAAGAGCGTACTAGTGTGCATCATACCATCACCTTTTCTTAAGGTTTGAAAATTTGCAAAAGAGAAAGTACAGGAGTGTGAGTGGATTTAACCTATACTGACCTCTCTACAACTAAGGGACAGTAGCTCACATAGTTGAAAAGACTGATAGTCTAAGACTTTTTTAAAACCTTTTAATCTAAAATTATTTACTCATGTATTTTAATTTGATCAGAGAGAAAAGGCAAGCAGGCCTTCAGGTCCCAGACTCGAACTGTGGTTGGCTATGTGGGAGTGTCCAGCGCCTTCACCATACCACCTGTTGGCCCCTATTTTAAAAATCTTTATGTGTTAGGATTAACAGGAAAAGATACAAAACCCAAGACTTTTTTGTTCTTGTTACAGTTTATTCATGGAGGACACACCGCCAAGATTTCAGATTTTAGCTGGAATCCCAATGAGCCTTGGGTCATTTGTTCAGTGTCTGAGGATAACATCATGCAGATATGGCAAATGGTGAGCTAAAAAATATCTTTTTTGAATAGCTACCTTGTAAAGGAGACTTACTAGTAATAAAATGTAATTGGAATGTTTTAAATATTTAGGTGTACATTAAACCAAATACTTACTAGACAGGAAACAGTTTAAAAGAATTTTTTCCATTTTAATACAACCTGTAGTCCGATACAGTGCTTTATCCACTAGTGGTAGCACCTGTCAGTTGGGAGCAATCTCTGCACAAGTCTTTGTGAACAGATGTTGGCGCAGCGTCTGCTGCAGTCCTCATTGTCCTTCCACTCTTCATCCACTGGGGTTTGGGCAGCGCTGCTGTCTCCGATGTCTGCTGTCACAGGCATGGAGGGGGCAGGAAGGAAATGTCAAGGTATTCGATAAGCTCTGTGATGAGCACTGAGGACTTGACATTTCTGAGGTGTTGGTACCTAAGCTGTTCATAAACTGTTCCTCTAAGTGACTGCTTGAGTTGCTTTTGGGAAACACCTTTCTGAACAGTGATTAAAATAAGTTGTGCATGGGCAGCTAGATATATATGTGCAACACTGGCAACTAATTTTGAGAATACTAACCTACTTTTTCTTTTGAAGTCTCGGGGGGGGGGTGCAAAAATGAAACTAGTAAATAACTAAAAAACTGTCCACAATTTCCAGAACTGAAACACTGATCAGTGTATCCTAACATTTGGATCAACAGATTAAAATATATTTAGGCAATCTTGTAAAGACCATGGGGAGTTTTACCTGTGAATTTATCTGGTTGTTATCTCCAGGCTGAAAATATTTACAATGATGAAGAGTCAGATGTCACAACATCGGAGCTGGAGGGCCAAGGATCTTAAATGCAGTCCGAGAGAAGTTTTTGTTGAATGTAACGCTACATGAATGCTTGATATTTATCAAGCGCCAAACAGGCATTGTATAGTAGGAAATGTAAGCAGGGTGGCTTATGGCGTTCTTTACCCTCTGATTCTAGCACTTTCAGTGAGCTGTTGCGTACTGTATCATATTGTAGCTGTTAGGGAAGAAAGGAATGTTGCTTAAAAGAAAGAACATCACCATTGTTTTCAAATACAAGTAGCAGGGTTACTGCCTTTGATTCAACTATTTTAAGTCCTCATTTTCTCAGACTAAGTGCTTGCTGTTCCCAAATATGCAAGAATAACTTTTACACTTTTTCCTTCCAACACTTCGTGATTGGCTTTGCAAAAATAAAGTTTTAAAATAAATTTTGCTTTATTCTTTTAGAAGCTTGGTAGGGGTGTGGAGGAGGAATGCGTGTGTGATCCTGTCTTGAGTAGAAATGAGTAAAATCGTACTTTGGGACTTAGAGAGTTAAGGCCACATAGGTCATAAAAGAATACGCAGAAGCTGTTAAATTTATCATACATATTTACTTCATCTATACAGAATCGAGTAGATAAAATCAGATTCACATTAGTGAAAAATCTCTACAAAATGTCTTTGAAAAGCAAAACAAGACTGCCTCTTAACAATTCGTATCCTCATGAAAGACGTGGGCTGTAAAAATAAAGCAGTGTGTTTAGCACAAACTAGAAGATATCTGCATCATTTTTTTCACAGTTATTTCCATCTACAGTCTGAAAGAGGTAGATTTTTTTTCTGCAACACCTGAGAATTGAATTGTGATAACCAGGTGTAATAAAGGCAGTTGCATACGTAACTAAGAACACCGGTCTCAAGACCAAGAAATGTATTCCTTTAAGTCTGAGGATGAAGTGGTCCATTATCCAAGACCCAAGTTTCTCAACACCTTGGAGTCTGGTGCCACTAGAAAAAATACACATCAAGATTCCATGATGGTGCAACAAATGCAATTTAAGTGAATTAGACAGTTAAACCTTTCCTGGGCCAGCCTAGTAGCGTTAACAGTGTTCTAGAATATGGTAGGTAACAGGGTGTGCCACAAAGCCACAACACTGGGCTGGTGAGGTGATCGCTTTAGGAGGGTGTCTTCAGAGGGTCCCATGTGTTTTATTCACAGGATAATGGGGTGGAAAATTACACGAGGACAACCAGATGTATCCCAGATAGAACCCATACCCTTTAAACACCATGATAGCATCTAGCGAGAAGGACATAGAGTAAGCCAAAAGCAGCAGGCCAAGTACTATTAATCACATTGCTTTATAAAGCCCTTGAAAATAGGCAACAGGTTCAAGATTTACAATCTTCCACACAGGACAATCACCACAGAGAACTGTGGTGGGCTACATAAATGGCTTAATAAAATGTTAAGAGCGGTACATCCAGCAGTGTTCTTGTGAAATGTGATCATTAGTACTAATTTTAAGGTAGATTATATTTTTGATATGCCTTCATTTCCCCCTCGGGAGATGAGTCCACTACTTCATTTAGTAGCCAGTGGGGATATTTATAAGAGGCTGTGGGAGGGTGCTGCTGTTTTCTGTTCAGACTAATTCCATAACCTACTTTGTGCGTTTCTTTCCTCCACTGTCTGGCCCCTTGATTAACATGACGAAAGGTGGATGCTTAGATGTAATCCTCCACTCTAGGCACTGTTTCCTATCTATTGGACAATTTTCAATTCTTTCAACCCAGTTTAGACCATGAACGTGACAGCACTTTACAAATAAAACTTTTAACAAAGAGAAAAAACCCTTGTTAACTGGACAAAACAATTTATTCAGTCCAGTAAACAATTCAAGAAATGTCAGTTTGGTAGTTTCGCTCAGTGGACTGTGCTAACAGTCCTAGTAGAACCATTTCATAAAGTGTTTCAATGCAAATGATACCAGGGATGTCAAATACTTTCATCAGTGCAGCCTGATTCATCATTTGCATAGTTGAGCCACATTAAGCACTGAAAAAAAAAAAAAAGTTAAAGAATTAATTCCAAAGTATGTGCTTAACTTCCAATTTTTCCCCATTCCAAGTGTAGAGACCTTGTTAATACTGTGGGGTTTTTTCTTTAAACAAAACAAAAGCAGACTAAGAAATGGGTGAGAAATAGACTGAAAGCTGACCAACTACTCAACACTCTGCCAAGCTTTCCCAAAGTAAAAATGCTGGCTCCAGTCTTTGTTTTGGAAGTGAAATAAGTTGCAGTTAGCACTGACCCATAATTAAAATTCCCCTTTAAAAGACCTGGAGTACTTTGCTGGTGGGGGTCTTAAAGCCACTGAACAAGTAACCAGAGGGTCCCGAGGGTCTTTGGCCTAGTGAACACTACACAAGAACCAACTTTTATTGTCCTAAACTGACAAGGGGACTATCATGTGACTGCAAACGAGAATAGCAGTTTGAAAGAGTTGACATTCTGAGGGAACTTGAGGAATATGTACCCAAATTGAAGTCAATTTAAAAAACCACCTTCCTCTCTACAGTGAACATCAGGTGATTCAAGATTCCACACACAGGCTCTACTCTGAAACCAAGGCAGTCTGTCGAAACACTGAGCTTGTTTTTCCAGGGATCTGCCTGTGCTGTATATGCTGCTTTGTTCACAACTGACATCTTTGTGTGTTCTGCCCAAACTTAAGACGGGTTCAAGGCTCGCAGCCATCCTGATTTATCAAGTGATGTAAGATTTATCAAGTGATGTAAATCACCAAAAAGCTAATTTGAATCAAATGTGCAGTGCTCATTTCTGACCCAACACAGTTGTTTTACTTGGCATTGAAACGGGCTGTTAGTCACTTGCCAACTAGTCTTGAGTTCCCAGCCCAATCAACCTGTAAGCATGTGGGGTGCACACATGCGCCCAGGATTCTGGCAGGCTGGAGGGAGGGTTTTGTGGTGTGACCACCCTGTGGAGGGTACCCGTCTTGTTGTCCCCCTCATCCCCTCATGTGCACATGCCTTAACATGAATTTTTTAAAAATAGTTTTAATGGGCTGTTTGACAAAGCTAATCATCTTGGTGCTTTCCTTTTTGAATATTAATGGAGGGTGTGGCGTTTAATATTGTTTCGTGTCAAGGAACCATTATGACAACAAAGTCCCCTTGGAATGGCTAGCCCTGTCTTAAGTGAAATTTTATTTGGGATAATTATGTGCAAGGAGCAGGGAAGAGAAAGGACAAGGCCATGGCCACATGCATTCCAATGAAGGGAAAATGAGGCAGATGTGCAACACAGCTGAGGAAGATGTATAGATTAAAACTATTCCAAACTGCTAAGCAGCCTCCTGTACCACATAAGTCCAGTAGTTCTAAGAAAATACAGATATGGTAGAAAAAGTAAGAAAATTTTCACCACAAAACCAATAGTTACTACTAACAGAAAGTTATACGCAAAATATATCTCTCAGCACAGCAATCACACCTCGTCCTAGTCGACTGACTCAATGCCTGGGGCCGGGCCCGCGCTCTGCTCCCTGGTGGCCCTGGGTTCAGCCCCCGCATGCACTCCTGGGGCTCTCTTGGAGGTGTTCAGCTCCCTGTGGGAACCCAGGGCGGCATAGGGCTGTGGCACAGATGCTGCTGTGGCTGCAAAACTCCCATCGGTGGCTTTGCCCAAGACCTGCTGTTTCAGGACCTCTACCTTCTCGTTGAGCTCGTTCCTCTCCGTCTGAAGAGCCCTACACAGCTTCTCTAACCGCTCCAGTTTTATCTGAAAGGCTTTATACTCTTTATCACGGACAGTTTTCTGTAAGAAATGAGAAGGGGTTCATGCAACATTGTTAAAAACAAGTCGGGTTACTGCATACCAAAAAAGCAGGCCAAGCCATACTAGAAGCCCCATTGAGGCACCCACTGAGTAAATTCCCTCCTTGTCATGTTGCTTTAAAACAAATTCCAGGGGCCAGCAAGTGGTTAAAGGCGCTAGGTTCCCACATGGCTCCGCAGGTCGAGTCCCAGACCTGGTGGCTTCCTTTCTCACTTTCTGTGCCTGTCTCTGATCAAATTAAAATAATAAGTTAAATGAAAAATTTTTTTAAATCCACTTTAAAGGTGGGGGGGCATTTTTGACAGGATCTCACCACCTGCCTGCTTCAGCTTTCTGATTAGGGTAGCAGGTGCACGTAGCTTAGCCTTGGAACCAAACCCAGGTTCCCATATGTACAGTGGCCTCATCTCTGCACACAATGCATCTACTGCTTTTGCTGCCACTGCTGGCCCCACTTAGGTACAAGATATGCATACGACGACTAGCAGGTAGAGAACGTTAAGGGCCTGCTTCAGCCCTTAGCTCAGCAATGAAGGGCACTGGGTCCCACACAGCTAATCATGGTTCAAATCTTAGCCCTGGTGTATTGAAAGCTAGAGTGCACATGTGTGTGCATGCCTAGAATCCTGACAGAATGGAGAGATGGAGGACAAGGGATCATGTCACGACCAGGCCCCATTGGTGAATGCTCTCTGGCAACTGCACGTACCCTCATAAAAAAGAAGAGAGGACCTAATTAAAAACAGTACTTATTTCTGTGTAGGTTTACCCAATTTTTATTTGAGAGCAAGATTCCTGAATACATGTACCCCAACATTTTTTTCTTTTGTGAAATGTGACAGACTAGTCCTATCAAGTGTCTGAAGGTATGAACTTCAGTGACTAAAGTAACACATTTTGGCTTTAGGTTGCTGGTTCACGCCACAGATCTCTCCAAGCACACCAGGAACATGTGTGCCATGCCCCAGGGCTGGCCGAGGCTGAGGGTGGGTTGTGGTGTTGGGACCCTGTTGGGGGTGCTATCTCTATTCTTAAGGAAGAAATAAAAACATTAAAAACGGCTGGGCCAACCCAGACCTAGTGCACCAGAGCCTCACAGCAGAAGGAGCAGCTTAGCCCTGGACTTCAAAAGCAGGAGTCTAACGCAGACTCAGTTTTTTTTTTTTTTTTTC